CACAGCACAGACAACCACCACCACACAGACCACTACCCCAACCACATTAATCACTACCACAGAGACAAACCCCACAACCACATTGACCACAACACTGACAAGCACCACCACAGAGACAACTCCCATAAACACGCCCACCACAACACAGGCAACAACCACTGAAACTTCTACCCTGACTGATTCTACCACAACACATACAACCACACCAGAGACCATTCCCACAACCATATTCACTACAACACAAACAACCACTACAGAGACCTCTACCTTAACCGAATCTCCCACAACACTGACAACAACCACAACCGAGACCCCTCCCACCACCTCAGCAACCACAGCACAGACAACCACCACCACAAAGAACACTACTGAAACCACAGTAATCACTACCACAAAGACAAACCCCACAACCACATTGACCACAACACAGACAAGCACCACCACAGAGACAACTCCCATAGACACGCACACCACAACACAGGCAACAGCCACAGAGACCTCTATCCTGACTGAATCTACCACAAACCCGACAAGGACCACACCAGAGACCACTCCTACAACCACATCCACCACAACACAGATAACTACCAGCACACAGATTACTCCTACAACCACATCAATCACTACCACAGAAACAACTCAGATGATCACACCCACTACAACACAGACAACTGCCACAGAAACCTCTACCCCAATCACATCTACCACAACACAAACAATCACCACCACAGAGACCACTCTCATGACCACGTCAACCACCACCACAGACACCACTCCTACAAAATCAGCCAGTACAAGAGAGACAAGCACCACTGCAGTGACTACTCCCTCGACCACAGCCACCACAACACCGACAACCACCACCACGAAGACCACACCTATGACCACATACAGCACAACACAGACAACCACTACCACAGAGACTACTAGCACCTCCACGTCAACCACTATCACAGAGACCACTCCAACAACAGAGACCACATCGAGGACAACCACTACCACAGTGACCACTCCCACGACTACATCAGCCACCACCACAGAGTCCACTCCCACAACCACAATAGAGACAACCACCACCACACAGACTAATCTCACGACCACATTAACGACCACCACAGAGACAACTGCCATGACCACATTAAGCACCACCACAAAGACACCTCCCACAACCACATCCACCACAACACAGTCAACTGCCACAGAGACCTCTACCCCTACCACATCTACCACAACACAGATGACCACCAGCACAGAGACCACTCCCATGAGCACATCAACCACAACTCAGAAAACCACAGAGACCACTCCTACAATCTCATTGTCCACAACACGTTCAACGACTACAGAAACCACTCCAACAACCGCATCCACAACACAGACAAGCAGCACCACAGAGACCACTCTCATGACCACATTAACCATCACCACAGACACCACTCCCACAACCACAGTGAGCACAACACAGACAACTACCACCACAGAGACTACTCCCTCAACCACATCCACAACACAGACTACCACCACCACAGAGACAACACCCCTGACCACATCCACCACAACACAGACAAGCTCCACCACAGAGACCACTCCCATGACCACATCCACCACTACCACACAGACCACCCGCACAACCACATCAACTACCCCCACAGAGACTACTTCCATAACCACGCCCACCACACAGATAAGCACCACCACAGAGACCACTCCAACAACCACATCTACCACAAGACTCACAATCACCTCCACAGAGATCACTCCCACAACCAGCATCCCAACAATGGTGACATCTACCACCATGACCAGTGTTATGACCACATCTCCTACTACTCCGATTACCACAACTGGGACATCCTCTACCACCCCATTCATCACAACCCACAGTACTACACTCACACCACCTGTTCCTCCTCTGGCTACTATAACTAGTGCAGTAACTACCTCCACTAGCACGATCATTCCCTCTTCCCCAGATGTAACAGTCACCTTGTCTACTGTGTCTTTCACTAGTGTTACATCTCTAGCTACCAGTACCACTGCTACTTCCCAACCATCAACTCCATGGTCCTCTGTCACTTCTGTGACCACTCCCACACACCCTTTTACTAGCAGAACCTCTCCAACCTCTCCCACGTTTACTGAAACAACCAGCACACCTTTTATTACTACTTATTCCACTACCCCATGTCCAACGTCTGTATCAGTTACAATAATCCCTACTACTTTCACCACCATTTGTATAGAGATGGGGCCCAGTAGTGAGGTTACTTCAATGTCTTCTCTCCCAGTATCAACCTTTACCTCTACTACTCAATTGTCCTCCCCTAGTTCTGCCAGCACTAGTACAGTTCCTGCACATTCGGGTGCTTCTACTTCAGTTCCTGCAACTGATTCCACTACCATTACAACAGACACTTCCAGTAGCACCCATGTGATGAGCACACAGAGCCCCACCAGTGGGACCTGGACAAGTGCTGATTTTGTAACCACCTCACATTTGCCGAGTTTCACTAGTGTCCCACTAAGTACAAAACCAAGCAGCACCTTTACAAGTGCTGTAATGACTTCAAGCAAGGTGACGAGTCCTGCCTCATCCACCACCAAGATTCCAGAAACAACGACGAGCACCTCTCCGTCTCCCACTACCCTCACATCACCCAGGACCACGCCAACCACTACTACGATGACAACCCAGTCTCGGCTGACTACCACTCCAGGTTGGACTTCTTGCATTAGCGACCTCCCCTTCTTCCCCTGCTACATTCCCTTGTTACCAACATCAGGCCCTGTCCTGAACTTCATTTTCTTCCTGTGATGCCTAGGCACCTGTGACAATGGTGGCACTTGGATTCGGGGCCGCTGCCTCTGTCCCCCCACATTTTCTGGGGACCGCTGTGAACTGCAGGAGCTCAAGTGCCACAACGGGGGTCAATGGGATGGTCTCAAGTGTCAGTGTCCCAGCACCCACTATGGAGCCAGGTGTGAGTTGGTTGTGGAACAGATGGAGCTTGGTGAGTTCCCAGAGCCCTTCCCGCTGCACTTTCTCCTGGGAAATCCCAGTGACTCTCCCTGGGCCCATTCCGGTTGGCTAGGAGGCCCCCACGCCATCTTGGCTTATCTAGCCATCCCTGTCTTTGTTTCCAGGAACCTAGATCATTTCTCATTCCACCCTCATGACTGGGGCTAGCTGGGACCTTTTTGAGGCCTCCTCCTCGTATGGACTTCTCTAAGGGTTATTGATTTCTAAATGTGACTGTAACAAATCACCACAAACCTGCAATACAAATTTATTACCTCTTTCTGCATATTAGCAGTTTGATATGCCTTTCACTGAACTAAAGTCGAGGTGTCAGTAGAGCTGTGTTTCTTTCCATAGACTCTAGAGGAGAGCCAATTTCTTTGCCCTCTCCAGCTTCTGGAGACCTCTACATTCCTTGTCTCAATATCCCTCTCTCCATCTTCAGAGCCAGTAATGTTTCATTCTGTGTCTTTCTTCCACGGTCACATCTTCGTCTGATTGACTGTCTTCTCCTGCCTCCTTCTTCCTCTGTTAAGGACCGTGCGACGGTACTGGGCCCAACTGGATAATCCACGTCAATTTTTCTATCAAAGTCGGTGGCTTTGCAATCTTTTTAAAAGAACTTCATGAGAAAAATATAAAAATTAACCATCTCACCCGTTGGCTGCCCTCCATTTTTACTCCTCTCCTCTTCCTCTCTGGTAACTTCTTGTCAAAATTCACTAGTTTTTAAGTGTGTTTTGTATATTCATCTGTCTTACTTCCTTTTTTTTTAAAGATTCATTTATTTATGCGTGTAGAACTAGGGTACAAGACAGAGGTGCAGGGGCAGTAACAGGATTCATGGATTCATCAGAGTCAGAGCAGGGAGCAGAACAGGTAGATCAACACTGCTGAGGGGAGCAGCAGGTGACAGCAGAGGTCTGCTGCGCCATATGGCCCACCTGCCTGGGTGGGGATTCATTAGCGCTGAAGGAGCTGAGGCCAGTTTTGCAGAGCTGTACTTCAACCTGCTGAGGCACCACAGAGCGTCTGTGATTCTATTTTTAACAATTTTTTTCACTTTTCATTATGAGTTTGGCTAAACATTTGTTCATTTTCACTATTCTTTTAAGACCAACTATTGGTTTTAGTGATCTTTTCATATTTCCTTTTTGGTTTTATTTCTGCTCTAATTTTTATTATTTCCTCCTCCTACTGACTTTTGGTTTCATTTGTTCTTCTTTTTCAAATTCCTTTAGGTGTAGAGCTGTTGGAGATGCTTCTTGTTGCTCAATATAAATCTTGTTTGCCATTAGTTTCTTATTAGCACAACTTTTACTGTATCCCTGGGCTTCTGATAATGCATTTCTTCATTTTCATTTGTCTCCAGTACTTTTCATGTATCTGCTTTAATTTCCTTGTTAACCGAGTAGTTACTGAGCAGCACGTATTTAATTTTCCACAAGTTTAGGGCTTTTTCAGATTTCCTTTTGTGGTTTAATTATAGCTTTATGAACATAGAAACACATGGTATGATTTCAATAATCATACATTTATTGACAGTTTTTTTGAGTCTCTGCAAGTGGGCTCAATCTACCTGCATCATACTGTAGTCATTAGGACTGTCTGACAGCCTAGGCATCTCTGATATCAAAAATGTGGGGTGTTTTCCCCACTGGCCCTGGCTCAGCCACAGATCACTGACCCCTCCTATTGTTTTCCATAATAAGGCCTTCCATAGTCTATACCTCACTAGTGCAGGTCCTAGGGTCCTAGGCTCCCCAAATGGGAGAAAGTCCTTCAGTCATCATTTTCCACCCTCTCCTCTCATAAAGTTTCATATCATTGCAGTCTCTTCTTCTCTTTGGTCTGAGTGTCCTGGTGGCATCCAGATAACTATATTTTAAATTTTCTTATACTCTCTGAAATTTTCATTCACATTTTGGTATGAAAATCTGATGCTCCAGTCCTAGGATCATTTGCTTTATATAGATGCTGGTTTGTTTTACCTTTGAGGTGGTGAGCTCACTGCCTTCAAAATTCTGCCATCTTTCCAGAAAGAATTTATCAATCTTAATTCCACCAGCTACCTTGAGACTCCTTGTCCTGTAGAGTAACATACCCATAAATTCAGGGGATTTAGGATGTAGACATCCTGGGTCATTATGCTGCCTCTCAGTGAAGCTGATAAGGAAGTGCCTACGGGCAGACTTCTGTGACCTGACTTCCATTCTTTCCTTTATCTTGGGACAACTCATCCCAGGATTCTGACCTCTCTCCTGTGTGCCATCCAGTAAGTCTTCAGGGAACTAGGAAAGGGGCCAGTGGGGAGACTGTGGATTGGAAGGGATGGTATCAGACAGGTGGTGACCAGTCTGCCATGCTATGTGCAGAGACAGTGCAGGCTGAGGTGGGCATGGAGGTGTCTGTGGACCAGGAGTTCTCCCCAGACCTCAATGACAACACTTCCAAGGCCTATGAGGATTTCAGTAACACCTTCAAGAAGCAGGTAAGATGAGGAAGGGGGACTCAAGGGTCCTCTCTGAGCTTTGCCCTGGATGCCCTCCTATCAGGAAGTTCAAACATGAGCCTAGAATCCTTGTTGTTTCAGATGGAGGAGATTTATAAAAATGTGCCGCAGTTCGAGGGTGTGCAGATCCTGTCCCTGAGGTAGGATATTCTTCTGGGCCGTGGAAGTAATCAGGAGAAGGGGATGTAAAGGAGATTGGAGAAGTGATCCCTTGCTTTTGAAATGCTCTGAATTCATAGCCTGTGGTGCGGAGAGGAGGCGATGCAATGGGATCACTGCAAAGGGAATTCCTGCAGTCACTGTCTGAAGAGCCAGGGCTCTTCGTTAAGCACATAGGAAGCACGGATATTGCATAAGTCATGCATGGAGGGCTGGTGGGAAGCCTACTGTCTGGACAGTGGCTGGTACTCTGGTGGCAAAGAGCCCAGGGTCCTAGGTTGGGAATGGCTTAATGTAGTGCAGGAGACTGTTGCTCATTCCTGGTCCTACCTTCTCAGGCTGCCAGCAGCCCCTTCTGAACACAATGTGTCTGGAATCCAAACTCACTGCTTCTGCCTCCTCCTTTCCTGCCCCCCTCAAACCTCTGCACTACGTGTTGGTCCTGAAGGTGCTCTTCTAGGGATCAGTGGGTCTCATGTCTGGGCACAGTGTAAGGCTTCCTGACCCCTCGACCCTTCAGGAGTGGTAGCATCTTGGTGGACTATCTGATCCTGTTGAAGATGCCCTTCAGCTCCCAGCTGGAAAATGAGTATGAGAACATTAAGACAGTCCTGAAGGAGGAGCTCCACAATTCCAGCCTGGACAATGCCTCCTGCAACGAGAACCAAAGTAGGTGCTTGCCAGAATCTGGGTGCTGGGAAGGATGTCCCAGCAGTTCTCCTCAAGGTTTTGGGGATGAGTGGAGACTCCTATTCTTCAAGGGTGATGAGGGACATCAAAGGATCCGCCCTTGTGGCCATTGACCCCTCCCCACCTTCAGAATCCCCTCTGCCCCTCCCCACACTAGCGCTGCTGCCGCCCTGGCCTCACTCCTTGAACTCCCTTCCCAGGTTCTCTTGTGCTTTTGTCTCCCCAGCCCTGTGTTTTAAGCCTGACTCCATCAAGGTGAACAACAGCATCAGCACATCACTGAGCCCTGAAGGTAAAGGGTAAAGGAGTCCATGACCCCACCTACTGGGGAACAGGTGCCCACTGAAATTCCCTGAGGAGGCCAGGAAACCTTTTTGGGGAGGCCAGTGATGTAGCCCCGGCAGAACTGTCCTCTCCCGCCCTCCAGTAGCTTCCAGCTGAGCACAGGCTGGGACGGTGAGGAGTGGGTGAGGGTCCTGAGGAGCTTCCGCACCCATAGGCATCCACATCCGCAGGCCTAATGTAGCCCTTCCGTCCAAATTCAGAGTGGCTGCAGCAGCCCCTGAGTAGCGTTAGGTCTCGGTTCTCTACAACTCCCTACTCACCCCGCAGCCATCTGTCGCCGAGCCGCTGCCAAGGACTTCGAGAATTTCTACTTCCCATTGGTGGAGGAGAAAAGGCTCCGCTGCGTCACCAACTGTACCTCGGGCTTGGACCACACCCTTGACTGTAACCAGGGGCAATGCGTTCTGCAGAAGAGCGGTCCCTCCTGCCGGTGAGGCCCCGCCCACCGCGCCCCGCTACCGCGCCCACCAACAGGCTCCGCCCTCCGGTCCCGCCCACCAGGCACCTGGCCAGCCCTGGTGGGGTCTTCCTGGCCAAGGTGGGCTGAGCCCAGGAAGTGGTGAGGATCTGTAACCTCCTTTCTCTAGATGCTTCTCTACCGACACACACTGGTTCTCCGGAGAGCGCTGCGAGGTGGCCATCCCTTGGAAGACTCTGGTCGGCAGCCTGGCGGCTGTCGGGACTCTGCTGCTGCTGCTTCTGGGGGCGCTCATGAGCGTCTACATCGTGCGCTCTCGGAGGAGAGGCCACCAAGGCAGAGCCCTGTGAGCAAGCTTGGGTTGGAGGTGGTATGGCAAAGGGGTACCCCAAGGGGTGCCCCGGCCCTAACCTCGTGGCATCCCCACCCAGGTTCTGGGACAAGGACGAGAAATGGTTTGATGAGAGCATCAGTGGGACTTTTTCAAACTTGGGCTTCGAAGATGAAGGAACAGGTGAGAATTTCCTCCTGGCCAAGGAAGGCAAGGACTTCTCTGGGCACCTCTGAGGCTTGCGTAGAACAGGACAAGCACACACCAGGGGCCAGGGAGCTTGGTCACCACTTCCCCAGGCCCCTGCTGAGGAAGGTCCATTCCCGTACAGGTGCTTAGGAACCCAGGAGGCCCTGCCTTCCTCACCTTTCCTTCCCTCCCCCTGCCCTCCTCTCCCCTGTTCTTTTCTACCCTGCTCTGTTCTCTCTCCATAGCCAGCCACGAAAATGTTCAGGTGGACTTGGACACAGTGGACACCAATGTCCAGGTGAGAGGGCAAAAGGCAGGCCAGGGGGTGGGAGGGATCAGGTCACCCCCAGCCCTCACCAGCAGATGGTCACTTATCCTCACTCCGTTTCTCGCGCTCTCTGGCAGGTGCACATCGAGAGACCCGAGGTGACTGCATCCTGGCTGTGAGCCCCAAGGGGCAGATTCACACCCCCTGCACCCTGCTCATATGTTGGGCAGGAGCCTCTGCTTTGCCTTCATTACTCGAGATGGCCCAGTCTCACGCAGCTGACTCCTGTTTTCCTTGCGCAAAACCAGATCATACTCTGAGCCATGCTTCTACTAGAGTGAAAGCCACTTGGCAGCCCAGTTCAAATCCAAGCCTGCTGTGGAACCTTAGGCCAGTCACCTTAAACTGGGCACAGCACAGTTGTCCTGATGCCTAGTAACATGCAGACCAGATGTAGTCATGAGCTTTGTTCCAGTCCACCTTCCCCTCCACCCTGTGCTTAATGGCCTCTCCCAGATGCCCAAACCGACACCCCTCTGCACCTCAGACCTCAGCTTCTATTTTCCTTTGAGCATCCCCGTAGCCAGCCTGCAGCCCGCGCCCGCAACTTATAGAACTGAGCGCTGCGTCCCTTGCTCCTACCTTAAACCGTCTCCCCTTTTGAATCGATTCCTTAAATCATCCCCTGGGCCCCAGCGTCAGTCCTAAATCTCCAGTTTCCTTAATCTCCCCCCTCCCACCCTAAGTCCCTACCCCTCTCTTCCATTGCCCCAGTCCTAAATCTTCCCTCTTCCCTCACACCCCTGTCCTGAGCCGGGTACCCTCTGCATCCTAGGAACCCCCAACTTGTGCTCCCCGGGCCCCGGCCCCTATGAAGCTTCACCTTCCTCTCTCCCATAAAATCCCTGGGTCACCCTGGGTGGAAGTAGGGCATGGGTGGGTGGGCTGTGGGTTTCCCTGGTTCCAAGGTTGTGGGCAAGGGTGGTCCTGAGGTGGGTTCGGTTCCCCTAATTCCCCAACACCCCCTACCCTTGCCGTTCCGGTCCCTGCTCTTCCCCTTTCCCCTCTCTGGCCTTACCCCATCCCTGCAATGATCTTTGAGCGCAGGATTCCTTAACTTTCTCTGCAGGAAGGTGCCATTTAGGGACAGGCAGCCAGCGTGGCCACTTGTCCCTTGTGAGCAAATACAGCATTTATTGTAAAAAAAAAAAAAAAAAAGCTGCTCCCTGCTCCGTGTCTTTCTCCCTTCGTTCGGTTGGAGAACAGGGGCTTCCGAATGAGAAGCAGAGGGCCTGGGAGTGGCGGCAAGGAAGGGCCTGTGGGCCACCCTGCCACAACTGCCACATGGAGAACACAGAGACTGGAGGACCCATCTTATGAGGGAGTGGGTGGGGCAGGAGAGCCTCTCCGGTGGAGGAGGTGGGGCATTGCCCTTCCTCTCCTGTTGGGAGCTTGGGGCTGGAGGAGGATGGGTCTGGGCTCCTGACCTCCCTAAACCCACAAGGCCAATATACCCACCTCAGGGCCTCCATGCCTGCAGCTGGGCCTTCTCCAGGCCTGTGATCATTGGGGCCACAGAGTGAGGTTCTTGGAAAGGTCCCTGAGACCTTTGTCTAGGACAGGAAATGACTGACGTGCTGGGTGGGACTGAACCCAAACCCCCTGGTGTGAATGGGCATATTTCCACCTGTGTGCCCTGTCTACAGACATGAACTCCCAAAGTGATTATCGCAGTTTGGAGAGAAAGCTCCTTGGCATGCCACTGGGGAGCCCAAGGAGGGGCTCGTGGGAGCGCTGAAGGGTTGGCGCTGTGATGTCTGGAAAGGCGAAGCCAGGAGTGGAAACGTTCCATCTGTTGTAAAATCAGGTAAGCGTGGGTAAAGGTGAGAAGAGATTTGTCCACAGTAGATGAAGGGGCAACCTTTGGAACGTGTGACGTGAATACAGAGCAAGTAAAAGGGAGTGCGATTTTGCCCAGTGAGTAATGAAACTTACTCATTCAGCTAATACATGGGACTGGCTCCTTCTGGTTAGGTGCGAGGTGTGTTGGAATAGGCAGGGAGGCTAAGCCAGTTATAATTAAGCTGATTCGATGCAGAGAGAATACCTGCCAGACCTGGAGCTGAGGTGACCTTGGGGCCCCAGATGCCCACCTAGTGGAGGGGCTGCAGAAAGAGGAGGCACTCAAAACTCAAGCCCTGAGACACGCTCAGAGCTGACAAAGCTGTGCATAGCCCCAGACTGTGCTAGAATGCTGGTCACAGAATCCCAGAGTTACGGCCACTCCGGAAGCCTCACGGATCTGGAATCTGGTATTGCTGCTGCCCACTGAGGGTCCGCTCTAGGCCAGATGCTGTTCTAAACACTGTCTCTTATGTCATTTAACTCTCTAGCCTAGAAAAAATTGGGCTGTTCCTGACTTCTGCTTCTACATGGGGAAACCAGAGCACAGGGATATTAGTAAGTTGTTCAAGGTCACCCATCTGTGGTGGAGGAGCCAGGATTTGACTGAGCCTGAGCTGTTTGGCTCCTGGGCTCGCTCACGTTCTTCAGCATTCCCTGAAATGGTACAAGTTTCTAGGCTTGCTGTAACAAACTACCACACTTGGTGGCGTCAGACCACAGAAGCTAGGGGACAGTCGCGTGTCCCTAGGCCAGGTCCCTCCTAGTTCATGAGGGCGGAGGTCATCTTGCCGCTTTCAGTTTCTGGTGGCTCCGGGTATCCTTGGCTCTGTCTTCACATGGCCTCTGTGTATGTCCACTCTCCTCCTTTCTCCTATTAGGACACCAGTATTTGACGAAGGGCCCCTACGCTCAAGACAATCTGATTTTGAGATCCTTTACCTCAGTTACACAAGGATCTATTTATAAATAAGACCTATGCAGGAGTTGGCTCTGACGACCTGAACATGGCTTTGTGGGCATACAGTGGGTCATACCTGCTTCAGCTGCAACCAGATGACTGTTCAGGGAGATGTGTGTGGGCCAAGGCGGCACTGCTTGGGGACAGTAGAAAGCCAGGGCTTGGCGGCGAGGGCCCTGGAGGAGCCAAGGTGGCCTGGCAGGTTTCACCCCCTGCTGCCACTCACTGGATGGGACACAGGCCAGAGTAGCAGGAGTCAATATGCAGCCAGGGCTGCTTGACTGAAGCACGTCCCAGGCCTTCACACTGCTTCTCTTGTAGAATATTCTTAGGGGAGCAGGGTGGTCATTTCCAGCAGAGATGGGAATTCAGAAATTCACTGCACAAGTTCCCACAGCTATCTAGCCACAGATCCTGGAGTTTTACTCCACTCCAGGCCCTAACCTCTGGGGCTGCTCCTGCAGACCTGCTGACTGCGTTCACACAGCAGTTGTGACAGGAGTGGAGAGGATGGGCTGTCCGACATGTCCACTCCAGAGCGACCAGCCAACTCATTCATCAGAGTCATGAAAACACAGCTTCTCCCTTTCTACAAGCTCTTCTAACCCCTCAAGTCCTGTCATACTTTCTATGAATTCCCTGGACGCTAGACACACGAGTGCTACAACTCCCAGTGGATCATGTTCTACATTCACAGCCATGTGTGATTTGTCCAAATCAACCCTTTACTCTGGAACCTTCTCTACCAGAGAAGATGGAGGTGCTGGTACTGCCCCCTGGCGCAGACCAGAACTCTCCAAGAAGGATCCACTTGATTTGTCCACCCTGCAGTGACCTCAGATATCACCCTTCCTAAATATAATGCAAGTTCTGCTTACATGTCAAGTTAAGAGGCATGATTTCTTTTTCTTTTTCTTTAAAGATTCATTTATTTATGCATACTGAACTGGGGTGCAAGCCAGAGGTGCAGCAGTGGTGAGAAGATTCACCAGAGACAGAGTTGGGGTCAGAACAGGCAGATTGATGACGCACACTGCTGAGGGGAGCATTGGGCGGGGCAGGGATCGAACTGGGCACTGAAGAGGTTGTGACTCGCTTGCAGAGCTACACTCTAACCCGTTGCACCAGTAGAAAGGGCCTCAGGGGTATCATTTCTACTACAGTTGAGCTAAAGAAACACATTCATCCTTCACTGTGGTACCCACTGCCTCGAATACCCTCTCAGATTTACCAGATCCTACAGTTCCACCAGATACTTTCTATATGACTGGGAATACAAATTCTTTCCCCTCTGGTCCTGGCAAATTAATTTCTGCTGCCCTGATCTCTGCGCGAACATCCACATCCACATCCCAGAGTGCCTGCACATGACATCAGATTTGCCTTACCCTTTTGGTTCAACACTTCCTTGTGCCACTACTGCCAAAGAAATGCTGTTCATACAGAGTCCTAAAAAATTCTCCACCATTTTGCTCTCTGGGAAAGCTGTGATAATTTCTACGCATTCAACTCTCTGCACTGCCACTTCTAATTTGCCAGGTTCTATAGTTTCTGTTGATACCTCCTTGGCCACTTCAGGTGGGGATTCCACATCCTCATGAGGTTCTGGCCTGTTGGCCTCACACTACTATCTGAGGAGTCCAGGTCCTTCTCCATTACCATTTATCCCTCCAAAATGACTGATTCATCAACGCTTCCAATACCTTAGCAGCTCTTAGTCCATTATCCTCATCAAGCTCCATCCTTTCCTTTTTTATTCCCAGTCACCTCTGGGCAAATATCTAAACTTCAGTAAGGCTTAGACACCAGCACTCATTCTTCCAAATCAGCGATTTCTACTTCCACCCCCATCCCCTCTGCCACAGGTAGCTCTGGTCCCTCATGCCCATCAGCTTGTCCTCTACAACTAGATGCACTCTATAGCACCTGACACTGCCCTCTGTAGAGGATCTGCAGTCTTCCAAAGCAGCTCGGGGTCACCTAATCCAAGTGTCATCTGATAGCTTCTGAACCACGATCCCTGGTGGTGCTTCTTCAGACACCTCCTCCAGGTCTCTGGCTCTTTTTCGCCCATTCTAACTTCTGGGTTGTCTCCTCCTTGGTCCTCCATATCACCTGGCTCCACCCATGCGTCTCTGGGTTTTGTGCCACTTCAACTGTCCAGCCCTGTTCACTAGCATCTGCACGACTGAGATGATTCACTTGTAACACTGAGTAAATCTAATAAGTCACCCTGCGTGCCTTCCCATCCACCTTTCCTCATCAGCTAATGAGCTGGTGATTCCCTGATCAGCTTTGATGACCTCATGGTCTTTTTCCGCCCTTCCACCATCTTCCCAGCGCACATTGTCCACATATAGTGACTTTTCCTTTTATCTTACAGAACGCTTGTTTTCCTCTTCCTCTTTCATTTCTTGCTTCCTTCCAACCATTGCCCCTCCTGTCCTCACTATCATCTGGGCCACTGATGTAGTAGCAGAGGGGTCTCAGTTGTTGTCTGATTATTTGGTCTCATCTCCCTCTTCCAGTGCAGTACTTGAGTGGAATGATCTGGAACAGAAAGAATGTGTCTGTGCCCAAGGCTTCTTTAATTACCAGTACCAAACCTTCATGGATACCTCACTAGATGATGACATTTTTGAGACCTACAGGTCATTTCTAGACCCCTTAACCACTGAAAATAGCAGGTCAGCACCAGAAGGAACTTCTACTACCACTGTCTCATTGTACATGTAGAGGAGAAAACATGACATTTGCCCAGCTCAAAATGAGGGCAGAACATGGACCTTCTGCTTCCCCCTTCAAGGCTCTTTTCACTAACTCATCTGCCTGTATCATCAGAATGTTTCTTGTCTAGAGCCTTACATCTTGCTCTCTCTGGGTGTGGAGCCTGGCTAACAGCTCCTTATGGTATTCAGAGCCAGGAAGCAGTAGTTTCAGGAACTTCTTCCTGCCTCTTGAATTCCCATCTTCTCTTCTATCCACTTTTCCCACCTCCATAAGACCAACAGGTGGGGAATTAACCAATCCTGGAAGA